GATTTCACTTTTTGAAACGTATGATAACAAATGGCGATGAAAAAATGAATCGTCTGCGGAAAGATCGTGAAACAAGTGTGACGAATTGGCCGAAAGCACTTCGAAAGCAGAGGTTCATCAAAACAACATAATCGTTAAATTAGTAGGATTGGAAATACATGTTTTTTGACTGTTTCGAATGGAACGATTAATTCGAGTGTGTACTATCGACAACTGGATTAAGTAGTGCCATTCATAAAAAAAAAAAAAAAAACGTCCAGAATTAATGAGTCGCACGATAACGTCAGTCTCTATAGATCATGGAGACTCGTCAGAAATTGTTGCAGCTAGGATAGGATGTGTTATCGCATCCTCATTCGCCAAACCTTGCACCATCCACTTGTTTCGCTCTCTTGGAAATTCTTCAAGAGGAAAAGTCTTGAAGAATGATTCCGACAACGATATCGAACACTATCTGGAAGAATTTTTTGCCGGAAAAGACCAGAATTTGCACGAAATTCTGTAGCTGCTAGAAAGACGGCAAAAAATAATGAATTAAAATGATCGATACGTATATTGAATAAAGTTGTTGTTTAATATGAAAAAGTTTTGTGTCATTTCACTTAGAAAAAATACCACCGACTTATTGGCTAACCCAATATATACGTATATATAGAATGTCAACTGTCAGGCTCTGCCAAGGTATTTGGAGGGCCATTTTGAATAAAGAATACAAAGAATTATATGCACCATTCGTCTTCGTTTTTCAGATATAGGCAGAACTATTGTTAGTTGTCGAATTAGAGCATTATTCCCACTCATTGAAATGTATATTCTTTTTGTATGAAATTGTATAAAATCAATTTGTATCTAAACCTAATACATGTGATGGATTGATGGATATTACGACCTTGCTAATGTTCGGTGGATGCATGATCTATGAAAGCACGCTTCCTCGCGTGCATATAGAGAGATGATCATTTTGAATAAGTCAATATATATATATAAAATAATTGAAATAAATTGTTATCTTATACAACTTTCCCTTTTATATCTTGAAAGACGAATCGACCCATGATCTGTATAACAAAGCTGATCGTGATTTGAAACATTTTAAGAAGGAAATTACCTGTTTCTTTCATTCTGTTTTAGCTTATGTTTCAAGCTAACCGTGCTATTCTATATCAAACAATTTCATAGCTTAGAAGAATACAAAAGAATTATTGGAAATATGTGTAATTTTTCCTTTAAAACTTTGAGCTTTAATTTACAACTTTCTTTTAAATTTCATGGTAGCGAAAATGATAGTGTAGTTTTGTCAAGCTCGATATTGCATCGTATTTTATTCCGTATTTTAAATATTTTTGTATTCCTCTATTTAAAGTAAAAAAAAAAAAAAAAAAAAAAAACAGAAATATTTGTAGTGCATATTATATTTGCTCTTTCGCAAGTTAGATTTGTGATAGCGGGAAATTTTATCCCCGCGAGATAAATGAAACAACCTGTATACGTGAAAGGTTAGAAATTTGTTATTTTTGTCAGAGATGCATGGCGGGGCTCCTCTGTACAAAAGAGATTTGGACGTTTGGAGTCGTCAACACGGCATAATGTTTGACTTTAATAACTTTAGTAACTGTGAGTCGATAATAGAACATTCGTGTCATTTGCAGTCCTCTGTGCGGACGCACATGTGAAATACAGAAATGGCTCGTAGTTCTACGCGATTATACACGTGAAACAAGTAACGGTTGCGCCGTGAAAATGGATTTTCCACTATTACGGAGTTTTCAGCCATTAAGCGAAATTCACACGACGAACAGGGTTGTTGCACGCATTTCCAAGTGAAATTAGCTAGAATTTTGATCGTACTGGTCGCAGATTAAATTTCATCAAATCATGGGGGTCATCTTGTACCCACGTTTCAAATGTACATTTCCAATTCGCTTAGCTGTTTGTTAAATATTTACATAATCTGTTAAAAGGCGTGTGTGTGTGTATATATATATATATATATATATATATATAAATATGCAATTTAAAAAAAATTGAAGAAACGACCTTGATGGGAAATCCAAGAGAGAACGAAACAGAGGATTCCCAAACAATGAGGAATAATTTTCCTATCGTTATTGTTATTTCAGCGAAATGTATAATTAATTACGTTATTAGAAAGGTACAGTGACGTAAGAATGAAATCAATATTGAATAATTAAATACGTTCAACACAAAGGAAATTTTATCTCGAATCACGATGAAGATGTGATTCAATTAACAATGATCCCTAATACATTCCCAATATATATGTATATATTGGATAGTATCTACACTTTTAACAAATGACTTTTTTAGTCATGTGAAGGCCAAGTTTATTGGATTAATCGACAATATGTAAAACTATTAGGTTGCGTAAGTTCATTCATATCTCGACATTATTCGAAGAATATAAATATGTATATGATTACATATATACATCATTGTTGTATCTAATTTATATGATACAGTTCAGTAAACATGTTGAACGTGAAAAATCAAATTTCAATTTCCACCACTGTAAATTGAAATTTGATTGTATCGTTTTCATAAAAGTATGAAAATATTTGTTTTTATATAATGGAAAAAGAAAAGATCCGATTCTACTTGAAAAATAGAGTGACGTTCAGCTATGACAGCAAACTATCTTA